ACATTTAAATTAGATTGGTGTTACTTGATGATTTATTTTATCTTAGGTATTACTTTAATAATTGCAATTAGATAAAAGATTATTTTATATTATATATTAGATAATAATCAGGTATCGTTATTAAAGTTTTAAATTCATAATATAGTTTAATCAAACAAAAAGAAAAAGATTATTGAAATTTTGATAAAATAATAAATCTAACAAGAAAATTTAGATATTTTTCAAATAATAAATCATTTTAAAAATTTTGATTAGAAAATATAATATATAGATTATTTAAAAGATAAAAATTGTATGTAAGGACTTTTACTTTTATCAAAAATTAAATCTGATTAATTTTCATAATTATAGCAAATAAAATTATAAATTCTTAAAAAAAAATTCAATTCTCATTGCAGTCGATATTATAATTAATAAGAAGATATTAAATTAGCTACCAAAGTCTTAATTGCCGAAGATAAAGTGATAATGCTTTTAAATAAAATATCAAGAATAAAACTAGAATTTTTATTTTTATTAAAAAGTGATCAAGAAGAATAAGCTTATATCAATTCAATTTTAAAAAGTTTTAATAAAATAACATAAGAATTGTAAAATTGCTAACATCAATTTGAAAATTTAATAGATATAAGTTAATTAAAAATGAAATTTTTATAAAAAAGTGATATTCTAACAATAAAACACATAGCAAAATTTTATCAAAATTTTTATTTAGATTAAGAGAAAGTATTAATAATAAAAATTAAATTAGGCTTAATAAATAAGAAGTAGAATGGTTGATAAAATTTAATGGAATAAAATGTTAAATCTATAAATTGAAACATGTATTTAAAGAAATTTATAATATAGGTTAATGCTTAGTTATACAAATTAGCTATTAGAAAGAATTTGGAAAGATTGAAAATCTTAATACTTAAAGATTAAAATAAACACTTCCAAATCTTAAGATAATCCCTCAAAATATGTCAGATTTACTACCTCTATTTTGGAAGGATTCTTATTATAAATTAATTTAATCTTATTTAGAATCATCAATAAATTCTAAGAATTTAATAATTGGAATTTTAAAAAATGAATAATTTATTTAGCCATGTCAATTTTATCTATCATATTAATTAACTGATGATGATATAATAATAAATCAATTTATTATAATAGATAAATTAACTCCATAAACATTATGGTTTAATTCAGATGGATAGATACTTGGAATTTCTAAAGAAATTTATGAACATTTAATTTTAAAATCTGAGAATGCTTATACATAATAATTGAAAATAAACGAATTTTTAGAAAATGCTATGATTCAATTCTATATAAGTGAAATTTATTTTCAGATATTATAATTTTAGAGTTTAACTACATAAAATTAATATACTTTAAAAGCATAGACTCAGTGGAAATTCCCATTAAATCATAAAAAATGTTTTGAAAGAGTTAAATAATTTTATTAAGATGAAATTTCATTAACTTCAAGAAAGTCATTACAATACATATTTTATTCTTAATCTACCAAAAATATGTTTAATAATTTTAAATAAAAAGTCACAATAACTCAAACGACAGATCCTAAAATTTAAAATGTTCCAATAAAAATGATAAAACCTAATTATCAAGATTAAATATCAAAATTAGTGATCAGTTCTAAATCTATTAGCATAGATATTGAATATGAATTAGCCTTTTTAAAATATGAATAAATTGAAGGTGATCAAATTGTTTTATTTTGTATTAACTTTTTAGTAGTGGAAGGATTAAAAAGTCACATATCTTAAGATTAATATATTTAATAAGGATTAAATAATCTTATAAATAATATATAATAATAAGATTATTATAATAATTTTGAACAAACACAGTTTTAAGGAGAAGATTTAATAAATCAAAAAGGTTCATATAAACATATTAAGATATCTTTTTTTCTGTTATTTATTGTTTCGATTATTTTAATAATTTTATCTTATTTAAATATTTCTACAAATGAGAGTGATATAAAAGTTTTTGAATATTACTATGATTATGCAATTTATCCTTAAGCAATAACATTTGTTTATGCAGCATAATATTTAAATTAATGGAATAGATTTTGTTAAATCAAGAATATATATAATTTATCTGAATTAGTAGAAAAATCAAGATTAGGAGCACTTGAATTTGTGAATGGAGTATTCTTAGGAAGATATAATTAAGATACTATGGGTTGTTATCTTTTAAGTCTTGAAATCAATTAAGAAAAGATTATTGTTGATTTTTACAATAATAATAATTATACTTTAGAAAAAGAAGAATTGAATCTTTTATAATTTTTTGATATAGCAAGAACAAAAATGGATAAAATGCACAGAGAAAACTTAATAAATTATAAGTCACCTTTAGAAGATTACTCAACTTTAAATTCATCTAGTTTCATAAGATAAAATATTATCAAGATATTTGTGTTTTGTGATGTTGCAATGGAAGCTTTGGTTGAAATTGTAATAGATAAAATAGAATAATCAACATTTTAATTTAATATAATTTTAATTATTGAATGCAGCTTAGCCTTTATTATTATTTTAGTCTAAACGAAAACTATGGTTTAATCTTCAGAATTAAAAAATAAAATATTTTAATTACTTACTCATTTAAATCATGATACAATAAATGATATAATTAGTTAATTAGGAGAATAACATCCATATAATTCAATGTCTTCTACAACTCAAAACTAATTGACAATCAATAATTAATAAACAAATCGTGTCACAAAATAAAAATTAACAACTTAAATTAATCATAAATTAATTAATTATAAATATAAATCTTTAAAATCATTCATATTACCTTTAACTTATTTTTTAATATTCATTACTCTAGGATTAACAGTATCATTTTTACATTTAGAATACTATTCTTAATATAAATAATCTTTAAGAACTACTTTTTAATTTGTCAAACTCAAAAAAATATTTGATAGTTCAGTTTTATTGGGTGAATTAATTAAAACTGAATACTTAATAAATTCTGATTCGTTAAAATACATTAATTAAACTGAAACTATATCTTAATTTTTTAATTATACTGATTAATTGTTGCCTATAATAAATAACATAATTGATGAAGTAATGGAAAATGATATTTTTAATTCATCAACATAAGAAATAATTATGACAGCTCTATAAGGAAATTTATGTGAAAATTTTTAAAAGTTCTATTATTTTTGTAATATTTCATCTAATTTGAATTATAGTGATATAGATATTACTTATATGTATTTAACTCAAGGTATTAGTGGTATGATGCAAAAATATTAAAATTTATTATAGAGTGAATTTTCATATGAGAGAGACACCCTAAAATATTAAATTAATACAACATTATTATAGGAATTCTTAAAAACACAAATTCATTAACACATATTTGTTCAATATTTTTATGATATGGAATACTTAGTCTATACTAGTTTTCACTATTTTTATGAATAAACTATGACAATAGGCTAAGATGTAAAAGATAAACTAAGTAATTTCTTCTTATACTCAGGATTGATGTATCATTTCTTATTTTAACAATAGTTCATTAACCATTATAAGTGTTGAATTTCTAATATGGAATTATATTGAAAAATAAGAATTTAATTAATTGAAATTAATTATTACACTTCTTCCATAATCTTTACTCAAAAATAAAAACATTAGTCGATTAGTTCTGAGAACTTTTACTTAAGTTTATTGAATAATTAATTAATTTATTTAATAATTATATATTTATATAATTATCAAATAAATATAACAACTTTCTTCAATAATAAAGAGGAAATTCTTATTTTAAAATCATAGTATATTAAATAATATTAATTTCAACAATTTTAAGATTAAGTTAATCGTTTAAAAAGAATAAATAAATTCGCAGAATAAATTTCTCATCTGTCTTGTTAATATAAATAAATATATAAAAAATATAAGCATCAAACAAAAACTGTTAATATAGGTCAAATTCAAAAAACGTAAAAAACTACTAGATATGATATCAAATGATATATTTTGAATCTAATTTGATTTTCAAAAGATTATCTTGTGCATTTTGAATTCAATTTAATTATTTTTTGTCATTTCTAAAAATATTTAATAGAATCCATTTGAATCATTAAAATCTGTATTAATAATAGACTCTGTGACTCATAATAGACCGAATTATAATTATATATCAATTGCCAAAAATAATATATCTAATAAATTAATCAAAACACAAGCAAATTAAATAGCAACAAACCTCAAAATACTTAAATATAATAAGTAGAAATCTGAAAATATAATAGATATTAATAAATAAGACTATTTAAATTATCAAAGATATTTATATATCACAATTGATTTTTAAATCAATTATAAATTAGGATCTTATTTTTTTTAGCTAAGCATCAGTGATCTTAATTTATTCATTATTTTAATAATATTTAAATACCTAGTTATCTATATTAATTTAAAAAGAAATAATTATTAAAGCTATAAAATTTTTATTAAACAATACAATTTTTTTTTAAGAATCAATTTAAGTAATTATGAATGAATTCTCTTTAAAAAGATAATTTTTAATTAAAATGAATTTTCAACTTTAATAATCTAGTAATCAAAAAAAAAAGTCTAGATCTCCAAGAATTATTAAATCTTTAAGGATTATTTATAAACAATATTTAATGTGTATATAATAAGATATCCATATAAATTATTTAGTTTATGAATGAATTAAAAAAAAAGAATGAATTATAAGAAATGAATTGACTATTAAAAAATGAAACTTAGAGAATATAAAAAATTGAAAAAAATGTTTAAGTATAATGGTTATGAATAATAAATATTAGTATAATTAGTTTTATTAGGAAATTTTGAAGATTTAAATTATAGGAAATTTAGTAGAGAAATTTTAGAGAATTGTGCAATAAATAAAGAAATGGAATAATTAGAGGATAAGATTGATTAATATAAAAATAGAATTTAATAAAATAATGATAACTCTTCACTTTTATTACAACATGGAAAAACCAATAAGTGAAAAATTTTAACTGATTCCTGTTAAATTTCGAAAGAATCTTTGTTAAAGAATAAGAGATTTAAAGTCAAGATAATAAAAAAAGAAAAAGAAAAAAGAAAGAGGAAAATACAGAAGCTATAGTTTAAGTTTAAAAATTTGTGCGCTTAAATGGATTGAAGAAGGGAGAGATGAAAGAACTATATCAGAAGAATTAGATATACCATTAAAAAACATTAGAAGATGGAAAAAATAAGGCCCTTTTAGAAAGAAAGGATGTGGGCGCAAATCAATAGATTTAGAAATGGAATAAAAATTAGCTGCATGGTGTCATGAAACTATATAAAATACTAATAAAAGAGTATCTCGAGCCATGATTTAAACATAAGCCTTAAAAATGATAAAGTAAGGTGTTGATTTCAAAGCAAGTAAAGGTTGGACAGATAAATTTGTAAGAAAATATAAACTAATTAGAAATAAAAGGATTTCAAAATTATGAAATATAATATTAAAATATAATAATATTAATGTAATCCCCTCAATTCTAGAAATCAAATGAGAATTCATCAAAAAGTGATTAATTTACATATGGATGGTTACCTATTAAAAATGACATTGAATAATCAATAGTCACTTATTTAGATCAGTTAGGAATTAATCAATTGACTTAAGTTGAAAAATTTTGTAATTAAAGAAATTCATTCTATTCCCTTGATGTTGCATAAACACCACCAAATTCATAAAGAAGAATTTCACTAAACTTAGACTCAGAACTATTTTAAAGGAGAAGTTTTAGAATGTGTTCTGATTAGATATGAAATAAAAACGAAAGAATACAGAGTAATTAGATTTTTTTATTATTTATTTTATTAATCTCTTCATACTCATTAAATTATCTCTATTTCAATTTTCTTCAACAATTTTTTACTTTAAAATGAAGCTTATATAATCTCTGAAATTTAAATGTGAGTAATTATCAATACAAACTATTCAGACTCAAATGACTTTGGAAATTTGTACAATTATATAGTATGAAAGGTAATTTTGAGAAAAAAATATTGATAGTTTCTTTCAATAAAAATAATAAGAATAAAAATTAAATAAAATAAAATTCAAATAAAAGAAATAAATTGTTCTTCATATTTCTTAGTTATTAATTATAGATAGATTTATTTAACATTTTACATTTTTTAGGAATATTTTATGTCTAAAAATCTGGTTTATTTAAAGATTTATTAGGAAGAAATTTTGCTGAAATTATTCTAAAATATACTAAATTATTTTGAAAAATCAAAATCATTAGACTTTTTTAATTTATGGAAATCTAAAAGGATTTTAGATTTTTTTGGTTATGATTTCACAAAAGTAAATTAACAAGATTTTTTAAATTAGTGACTTATACAATATTGTGTTAGAAATAGTCTTTTTTTAAAATTATTAAATATCTTGATCCATTGTGAAAATGGGTACTTAAAATAACTAATTATCATCATATTATAGAAAATTCATTCTATGATATTTTAATAAATTTAAGTTTGGAAAAATCATTGAAGATTATTTTCACAAAATTTGCTAAATTTTTGTAAAATTGATGAATTGATTTAAAAAATTAGAAAAAATAGTACATTGCCAGTAAGATAAATTATATTGTTAGTTTTATAATAAATATATATAGCTTTTTATTGCTAATAATTATATAAAAAATATATTGATTATTAATCTTTAAAAATACTTTCTAAATAGTTACATAAGAATATATTTTTAAATTCTTTGTCTTTAGATAAAAACTTAACCGTTATCAAGATATCAAATAAATTTTTCTAATAACGACCTAACCACTAATGGATGGATGTGTACAATTAGATTATATTTTGAATTGTAGTATATTCTAATTTAAAATATAGAGTTTACTTATTAAAAAATATAAATGAGAAACTTGATTGTTGTATTTAATTAATGAAATTTAATAATAAAGAATTTTGGTATTATTTCAAATGCTTAATTGATATTGCTTTATCAGCGATAATTTATAGTTATTCAAAAGATTCTTCTATAGTAACTATCAATACATTAACAATATAATTGTTGGGTATAATATTATCACCTTGTATAGCAAAGAAATTTGGGATTAAAAAAAGAAAATAAATATAAATTGTAATGTTGTTTGCTCAATTGATTCAAATATTTTATTGTTGTTTCTATTTTGAGGAAATCTTGAGATATGGTTATCTACTAATTAAATTTTATGAGAAACAATTAATAGATATTTTATAGACGCAAATTAGTTATATAATTATTATCGCATTGAATGCCTTTTAATTATTTTTGATGATATCTTAGAATGAATTAGGAGTTACATATTTTTCAGTAGGTTATGTAACTATATTAATCTTTAAAGAAAAACAAAAGGTTTTAAGAAAGTTAGAGAAAATAAAGTTAGAAAAGATTTCAAAAAGAGAGATTAAATAAACTAAAAATTAGACTAGATAATCAATGTTAATTAATCAAATAAGTGATTCACTTAGTTTAAAATGGATGAATAAATTATATAATTTTCCTGTAGGGATTGTAATAGTTAAGAAGTAAAATTTGGAAATAATATTTGAAAATGATTAATTACTATAAATTTTTGAAGCTGAGGATGATATTGGTAAATTTATATTAGAAAATGTGGAATGTACAATAGTGTAAAAGAAAAACAATTATTTTATAGACTAATCTAGTATAGGAATAGAAAAGAATGGAATGTTATAAATTTCAGGATCTTTTAATGTTACATAATAATAAACATAAAATAAGACTTTTACAATAAAATAAATTTTAAATTTATTAAATTTGGGTAGATTAGAGAAATTGAAAACAAAAGATGATTAATTAGAATTATCTGCAACATTTTGTAAAGGTAATGATGCATTTTTTGAAGAGAGAAATTTGTTATTTAAGATTTCATCCACATAAGATGAAAATGAATATTTAATAATTATTTAGGATATAACATTATAAAATAATTTTAAAAAGATTGAAACAAAAGAATAATTTATAGTAAAGATGATAGATTCATTTTCACATGAATTAAGAACACCATTAAATAGTGCAGAATTATTTCTTTAGGGATTAAGTTAGGCAAATGAATTACCTATTTAATTAAAAGAGAATTTTATAGATCCAGCTAAAAATTCATTAAGTTTATAAGCATATATAATAAGAGATATAATAGATTTTACATAATTTAATCAGAAGATAATTAAATATGATTTTTCAGATTTTAAATTTGTAGATATTATTTAAGAAATAAATGATTTATTTAAATTGAGTTTTTAACATAAAAAAATTGGTTTACATGTGAATGCATAAAGATCAATTCCAACAGTGATAAAATCTGATTATAATAGAATTATGTAAATATTAGTGAACATTTTATCAAATTCAGTTAAATTTAGTTCTAAAGGTTTAGTTGAAGTAATTATATAAGGTTTTGATGGTTATGTATTGTTTAGCATATAAGATTAAGGTTAAGGAATAGAGGCATAAATGTTATCGAAAATATAATAAACTTTATAGGATTTTGCATTGAATAGGAATATATCTTAATAACATGAATGGTAAGGTTTAGGACTATTAGTAAGTTAAATGAATTTAATAACTTTGGCTCCTTAAAATAAATCTTATCTTTAAATTACTTCTAAAGGTGTAAATTAAGGTGTTTAAGTTAAGTTTAGAATTAAAACTCAAACATAAATTTTTACATAACAATTTGGTAAGCATAAAACCTTTAAAAGAGGATCTCAATATTCATATAATACAGTACCTGAATTAAGTGAAGGATTATAAGGTAAATATATAATAGATTATAGGATTATTAATCATAACTAATCCTGAACCTATAAATTCCTCATTTAAAAATATACCCATAAAAGAACTTCCATCAGTAGCTAATTATTTTGGAAAACCTTAGAGTCACTTTTTGGAAAATTAAAATTAAGTAGAAACTGATCTATAAATTTAAGGTATAAAATCATAATATATTAATTTATAGATTCTGATAGATTTGGTTTAACTCATCAACTTATATAAATATAATCGAATTTCAATCCAAAGTTTTTGAATTCTAAATATAGACAAAATTCACTTGTTTAAAGAATGTAATAAAGAAATGATGATTAAACTTAATTATAATCAAACTTTAGCAAAATTAAATTAAAATGTTAATGTTAAAAAGCTTTATCTGTTGATGATGATTCTTTTAATCAAAAGGCTCTTCAATTGATTCTTGGATAAATGGGATTTCAAATCTAACTTGCATATAATGGTTAATAAGCAATAGAAATTGTTAAATAAACTTAAAAATGTAATGAAGATTGTAAAATGTATATTTTCATTTTAATGGATTGTTAAATGCCTATTTTAGATGGATGGTAAACAACTAAGAGATTAAGAAATATGATGAGTAGAAAAATTATTCCATCAATTCCTATTATAGGATTAACAGCTTTTAATGGTTAATATGAAATAGAAAAATGTTATGAAAGTGGAATGTAAACAGTTTTAACAAAACCATTAAAAATTGATGATCTAAAACAAGCATTGATTCGCATTTATAAGTTTGTTTTATGAATTAGTAAAGTAATATGAATTATTATTTTGACATGATATAAATTTTCAAATTTTCTTGTCAGCCTATTCTGGTATTTTAAGCATTTCTAATCATTAACACAATTAATACCTTTTATTTTCTCATCAAATGATGTGTCATCTAAACTACTTAAATTAATTGATGGAAAGTATGCCTTTGGATCAAAATAACCTATTAACAATTATTTTATCATAATCTACCTTTTGCTATTAAGAAGTTTTATCTTAAAACTATTTCTTTAACCTTATTGTCATCAAAATAAATCATATCATCATAAGGATCAAATTCTTAAGTTCCAGGTTTACCTAATCTTAAGAACTCTCGAATTTTCTCTGGGTCTAACGATTATCCTTTAGGAATATTTTAAGTTGGCTTATAATTTATAACCTTGTATATTTATGACCAAGCCTCAGGATCATTTCTATCTAAAAAATTTATACAATCAATTACATTTATCTAATAAATTTGCGAAATCTTGCATCACTTATTCCGGTTTCTGCATGTTAATTTTTAAATTATTAATATTTTATATACTTAATATACTCATTCTCATTTAATTCTCACTGCGTCTATCTGAATTAATGTTGGAATTAAAGACAATAATTACATTTTATAGTCAGGAAACTAAGCTACTGGATTTTATTCAACATAAATTGTCTTAATATTTTGATTCAATTTCAATTATTCAAAGTCTTTAAAATATTCAATTTTATTATTATTTATCTATTAATCATAATTAATAATACCCAGAAATCTTAAAGATTTTATAACTGTTCTATTCCTTAAATTTTTGTAATTTTATTATGAGCAAGATCTAATAATTCTAATTATTTTAATCCATTTAAATTTTCAATAGTGGTTATGAAATTTTCAGCTATTTATAGATAATTCAAGTTTTAAAGGATTTATATTTCAGGCTAAATCATTTAAATCTTATTGCAAGATAAGGATAATAGTTCTAAAGTGTTAGCTAAAGGTTCAAGATTCTTAATTTGAGATATTTTATTTTTTCCTAAAAATAATTCTCTAAGTTAAGGTAATCTATCAAGATTTTCAATTTCTTAAATTTTATTAGATCCCAATTCTAACATTGTGAGTTCAGGAAAATCTAAATTTTAAATCTTTAGATAATAAAGAAAGAGATTACTTTTTTAATTTTATTGCTTAATAAAAACAATTTCTTAAGTTTCTTTTAGTTTTCTAAATTTTCTATTTTTTTAATATTATTGAATGATAAATCTAGGATTTCTAAATTTACTAACAACTCAATATTTTCAATCTTAATCAAACGGTTATCATATAAATCTAATTCTTCAAGTAATACACAATTTTATAATCCTTCCAATTTGGCAATTAAATTTGTTCTTAAACATAATCTTTTTAAATTAAGACACATATCAAGAGCCTGAATATTTGGTATTCTACCTTCAATACAACTAATATCCTTTATATGAAATGAATTTTTACGTCATCTTCTGGATTAATTTCAAAAGGAGGATGTCCAAGGTATTTATATTAAATTTTTTGTTTTTCTTATTCAAAAGGTTAAACAACAACTTTTTTTTCAACTTTATTTTCGTTTTAAAGAACTTAATTTTCTTATTATTAAGGTTGATCATTATTTTCTTGATTTTAGTTCATTTTGATAAGTTAAAAATAAATTTCTTTTATAAAATAAAAAATATAAGTAAAATAAGGGAAAATAATTTGAGTTCAGTTTGAGTATAAGATTTAATAATAAAGTTTAAAAATTGTTAATAAAGTGAAATAAAATAGAATGGAGTTATTTTGAGTATTTAAAAATATTATTAATTTTACAAAGTTATGTAAAATAGTAAGTAATATTAAATGAGCAAGGAAAACTTGAAGATAATTAGATAATCTGAATTAATTTAAAGTACTGTAATATGGACTCATAAGAATTTGTTCCTTCGTTATTGTCAATCTTCAAATTATTATTACTCAAGAGATGTAAATGAAATTCTTGCTGAAGCTTCATCAAAAGCAGTAATTAGATATAAGGATTGGTATAGTTATGATGATGATGTAAGTTTAATAATCATAATAAGGATGAATACCTAAAAAGATACTATTTTAAAGATGAATATACATAGAAGGTCCAGTTGTTAACTGAATACTATAAAGTAAAATTAATCATATAAAAGAGTTTCATACAGATATTGCAAGATTGTTTATGGAACCAATTGCAATCTTACTAAATAAATACTACGATAAGAAACGTAAATATGAGTACTATAGGATTTCTCGTTTGATTGAAGAAGAGAATAAGAAAAATCCTAATAAACCTCCAAAAGGTATTGTAGGTGAAAGACCATCACCTGCAAATTCTTAAGAAACTTAAAAAGAAGAAGAATCACCAACAGAGACAAGAAGAATCAGAAATATTTAAATTTTGAAAGACTTGAGTTGGTTAAATAAATCAAGATTATAAAATAAATAGAAAATTGATATTTCATGTACACTACAAGAAATTTGCAAACATTTAAGTAATTAAGCATTTGAACAATCTTCTCTTTTTATTTAGACAGGTAAAACAGAAGAGTTGAAATTAGATAAGTTTTTAAACTATATCAATTAATAAATTAAGAAAACCTAAATTAAAAGTGATTCTGAAAAATATAAAAAGAAATTAAATCATCCACATGAATAATTAATTTAAACTTTGATTTTAAAATAATAAGATTAATCTAAATCAAAATTTGGTTCTCAACACTCTAAATAAAATACAGAGTTATTACTTTAAATGAATAAATTTTCAAAAGATATTAATGTTAATTTTATGAGAAATTAAGTCGATTCTATCTTTACAAATAAATAATAATGTAATGACAATCATTAAAATCTTACAAGAGTTGATCAAAATCAATAACAAAAATAATAATCTAATCTTAAATCTAAGACTATTATTTAAAATTAACCAAAGATTTCAAAATAACTTTTCCTAAAAGATCTAAAGAAGAATGTATTATCTATTCCTTAATTATCCAACAATTGTAATTCTAATAATATCCCATCTCCCTCCACTCATTAAAAATCATAACTCAATATTGGTATATATATATCTTTATTATTCTTATTAGGCAAATTAAATTTAAAATAAATATCTAAAATAATGATTGAAGAAGAACCTACAGAATAAGAATTAAAATGGAAAAATGGATCTTAAACTCATAGACCTCTCTCTGGAACTTAAAATTTCTTTTCTAATAGAAACAGTCCAACTATTTCTAGAGGTACATAAAATGATATCAAAATTAATAAAATCAAATAAACGCCTACTTCATCTTAATAAACAAACTCAAAAACAACTAAATAAACAGGTTCTACAACAAATAGAAAATCTTCTCAACCTAATATTCATATTCGATATACATCTAATTAGGATAAAGTCATTAATATCAACATTAATATTAATGATAATCCAGAACTCTAAAAATGTAAGTTTTCTATTTATTCATTAGAATAATAGCAGAAGCATAAAAAAAATTAATCTGAAGGAAAACCTCTCCAATTAAATACAAATCTACCTGATAATTAATAAGAATATGTTTGCTTAACTGATAGAGGTGGTGCTAGTGAATTTCTATTTAAAAATAGCATTGCTGCATCTTGTCAAAATTCACCAAACACATCTAAAATAAAAAGAGTTAACAGTGGAACCACAACTTTAAAATGCTCTATGAGTACTAAAAATTCTTTGATACAATAAATGATATCTTAAGTTAGTAAGCAATAGCAAAAATAAGAACTTCTTTCCTCTTAGTTTAGAAAAATTAATTGAAAATAAACATTTTATTTTTAATATGTAAAATAAAGATCTATCAACTCTTTTTACTTTTCCAATCAATCCTAATTTAATAAAAATTTATCAGGGATATTTTAGGCTTAAGAATACAAATATTAATATCCTTGATATCAAGATAAGGACTCCTTTATTTTAATATAAAATTATGATCTTATTGTAAGAAATCATAAATGAAAAAAAATATATTGTGATTATCTTGAGTAATAATTACTTTAAAAAACAACCAATTATAAATAAAAAATGTTAGATTGAGTTCTGACTTGATTTTAAAAAGATTAAATTCAAAAAAATATTGTCAATATATTGTTTTTGCATATATTGAATAAATTTTTTATTTACTAATTCAAAAACATTTCAATTTGTTATATTCTTAAAATTTATATATTTTAATGTTAATTATATAAAATAATTATGAAATTGCTAATCTATGAAGATTGGAAGAATTCTGCTTCATCTAGAGATAATTTCACATTCTAATAAGAGGTGAAAATATAATCAGAATGTTATCAAATAGCACGGGACTTTGAAATTCTTTTATAAAACAATGAACATAGCACATTCAATCATTATTTTTAAAAGGCACTTTCAATATTCCACAGATTTGCTCATTAAATTTCTTTCAAGAAATTCAATAGACATATTTATATGGCAGCTTGTTTATTTTTATCAGCTAAGGATAATGATATGTTTGATTGGTCTGTTAAGAGATATACAAATGCTTTTATTAGTTATTGTATATCTAAAAAAACAGTAGATCTTGATGGTTTAAAGATAGAAAACGATGACTAAAACACTTTTAAATTAATTTCTGAAAAGATTATAGATGCAGAATCTCATATTTTATAGATGATAGGTTACGACTTAAATATAGTAGTTCCATAGATATACTTTCAGGAAGCAAAAAATAAATTAATTGCTACATAAGGAGATATTTAATAGCTATTTGAATTCGCTTAGAAATACTTATTAGATTTATTCCTCAATAATGCATGTTTATATTATGAGCCAAAAATAATTACTCTTTGTGCAATAACTATGGCTAGCAAATTATTAAAAATAACAATAGCAGATTTATCTAATGGAAATCCTTGGAATTCATTATTTGATCAAAACTAAGAATCAAATATTTAGACTTAAAAAGAAATATAAGAAATGACTAATTATTTCGATTAATGCATATAAATTCTAAAAAGCTGATAAATAATCTGAATATATCACAAAAACATATTTTAAATCAATTATTTGTTAAAGCTGTGATTTTTCTTAATAAAAAATTGTATTTAAATTTATTTTTTTCTTAAATTATAGTGTTAAATCTATCATTATAAATTGATGGATGCAATATATTTAAATTTTTCTAAGATAGTAATGGTTTGATGATTAAAAAGTCTTTAAAAACCAGTAATAAAACTTTGATATTGGTAAAATTATTAAACAAAAATTACATATTGAAATTGAATAGCCATATATGTGAATTAAGTCAATTAATAAACATTGATACATATCTACCAGATATATAAATTAATTTAATATAAGATTAAATAATCAAATACATATTGTAAATTCTAAAGGGTTGTTTCTAAGTAAATCTAAGAAAATTTTATAAATATCATTATTTGAGTAATCAAGTACCATATTTTGATAAAAAATAGAGAGTTTAAGAAGCAATAGTCAAAGTTTCAGTTTTCTTATATTGTATTTTCTTTGTCATTTATCGACATATTTCATAAGGGTCAGGTGATTTTTTGGGTTTTACATAACCATTTAATTTTCTTCTAGCAACTAGGCTAGAGCCTAAATATACTTTCTTTAACGGACTGTTTGAACGCGATGTTTTTGGTGTAGTTTTTTAACTAGTGATTTGAGAATGGATTGTGATATTATTATCATGATAATCTAATTTATGTTATACTCTAAAGTTTGGACTAGGTATATTTAAATCAATTATAATATTATTGACAGTGCCTTCATGCTAAGTTGAAATTCTCAATCTTTTGAATTTGTTAGGAGAATTTTCATATTCTTTCTAAAAGTAGTTTGGCTTTGATTTGATTCCATTTAGAGGTTGTTATAAAATTTCAATGAATTGGGATGGAGGTTCCTTAAAATAAGAAAATTTTAGTGCTTAATCAAGCATATAAAAAATTTTAATAAGCTTCAAATTAAAGAGAACTTCTAATTTTTTAAAGAAACTATATAAAAATGATAAAAAAACCCATAATAGAGGTATGATCAACAATATTATTGATGATAATAGAACCTATATAGAATTCATGTAATAGAAAAACATGTTGTGAATTTTATATGACGAGATTTAGGATAAAAAAGAGTTTATTTATAAAAGAGAATAATGTTACTTGAAATTTATAATTGATATAGATAAATTTAAAGATATTTTATAAATATTAGAGCAATTTTTAAATGATAAGATAGTATAAAATTGTAGAAATGACTTTGAATTAGAATGTTTGAAATAAGAAGTTAAAGTTAATAGGTAACGATTAGAATAGATAAGAAAAACTTGAGTTGTTATTTATGGATAATTATGATTGATTGTGATGATTTACATATTTAAGTAAGATTAAAAATATAATTAAGAGAAAAGAATAACAAGCAAGTATTATAAAAAACACATCATTAGTGAAATAGCTGTTAATATAAAGTAATTAGTTTAATAAATATTTGGAGGCATTTATATAATTAAATTTAGAAAATTGAATTTGAATTTCATAGTTAAGAAATGTCATAGCAAATGCAATAAATGTTCAAATAATAATAAGCTTAATAATTTTTAGCACAATAATTTTCTAACAAAACTGATAAGATTAAACTTTCAAATTTGATACCCACACAGATCAATGAGAACTTTTTTAACAAAAAAACAAATGAGATTTTAGATAAGAAACCTTCATCCCCAAGATCAAGTAATTAAGCATCTAAACCATCTTAAAAACCATCCTAGCAAATAACTATTCATAAATCCAACATAACCTTGTAAAATAAAAGTCACATAATAAATGAATAATTCTAAGAAAAATTAAATCAATTTAGTAAAAGAAGAGATTATTCACCAAACTCACAATTAAGCAATTATAAAAAAAATGAAGAATTCTTATAAAGAAGACCATCTTCATTAGTAAATGATGAATATTCAGCTACTCCATAGATTAATAGATTTATAGCTAAATCTCCAACACCATCAGAAATTTAAGAAAGTGTTGCATCCCTACTTTAAAATCATTAAAGTAATAAATAATTTGTATATTTTAAGCAATTTCTTCACCAAAAGGTTAAAATGCATAAAAGCCGAAAAGTAATGTATTATAACTTGGTCCTTATTTATCAATTCAATAATAATAATAGAAATCAACCCATAAAGTAAAAGGACATAATTCAGCTAATTCAGTTTCATACAATTTGAAACCAAATATTTTAAAGAAATGTGAATATGGCATGAATCATACTCCAACAAAAGTTACTACAACAACATTAAATACAGAACATAGTAAAAGTAAATCAGTATTAGATGAATAATGCATTAGAATGATATATTATGATAGAGAAAAAGAAAATGATATGAATTTATTGAATATAGGTACACCTAGTACTTATTTACATTCTAAAATTTCTATTGAATAATAAAGTGTAATATTATTTTATTTAATCATAGGTTGCCGAAAGTTTAAATAGTAAATTTCATCAAGCTAAAATATTAACTCAATAATCACCTTATTAAAATACAAGTGGATCTAATGATCATTTATAAGAATCATTTCCAGTTCGTACTTGTATTAATCATAGAACAAAAAAAGCTAAATATTTTGTTGATGAGCATTAAAAATAGATATTTTATTGTTCATAATGCGCTATTACAGTGGCTGGTTAAGGAAAGGTTGTATAAGATTTAAGTTAATTAATAATCAAATCATAAGAATCTTAAATATTATCTTTTTAATCAAGTTCTGTAGATTCTAATAGACATTCTAATTTTTCAGATGCTAATTTTAAAGAAAGAGAATTAAGTGGTTTCTTAACTAAATTAGAATATTCTCATTCTCAAAGAGCTGATATATTAAATTAAATGTAAAATTAAATTGAGAAAATTAATTCTTGGTATGAATCATAAATTGGACAATGTTAAAAATCTAAATAAGTCATGCTATAATTAATGAATGATGCTTCCAATAATACTATATAAATACTATAAAATTAAAGATAAGAATCTTTAAAATAATTGTCTAATTTATACTTTGTGTTATAATAACATTAATTAGATGCTTAAAATATTAAATAAGATATTGAAAAGAATTGGACAGAAGTGTTAGAAGACATTCGAATGGATCCATTTAGAAAGATTATGGATTATTATTAATCTGAATTTATTAAAATGAATGATTTTCAAACTTAATTACTATCATCAACTATTTCTATGAAATCTTTAAGCAATTAAGATATTTAACCTACTTTAGCTTTGATCGTTTAGAAGTAATCAATTTTATTAATCATAGTTTTTAATTAAATGATTCAGAACAATAATTAATTTTACAAAACAATTCTCTTTTTAATTAAACAATCAGAACTTAACCAACTCCACCTAAAAAAAGAACTGAAACTGTTGAAGCTTAAATTCATTAATCAAATTAATAATAAAGAGTTAAAACTGATTTTAGTGGATCTAAAACAATATAACAATAAAACAATGAAACTCCATCTAATTTTTACTAATATTTTAATGATGCAAATATATATTAATTAAGTGCATCCAAATTATAATCATAATAATCATAATAAAATTCAAATAAAAATAATCTTTATATTTCATTTGAAAATAAAGATATATTTATGAATATTTTGGAATCTGAAAAAAATTCAAAATAAAGTTTACATGAAGATAAATAATCAGTTACTTCAAATCCAATAATGATTTTAGAAAGTTATAGAGAATAAAAAAAAAATAATGATAATGAAGATGGATAATTAAGTGATCATGAATCACATAAATCTACTCCTCATAGCCCTGCTAGTGGATAAACTAAATAATCAGTTCAAAGGACAGCTACTAAATTAGAAGAACATTCGTAAATTCCAAAAGATGCATTTTAAAAATAAAAAAGTACATTCAGAACTTTGTTTGAAAATACTGAAGATTAATAAAATAGTGAGGTTATTCAAAATGATTCAAGTGTCAGTCCAGCTAAAAGTGAAAAATTTAGATCTATTTTAAATAAAATATCTAATAATTAATCTAAAACTTAATAGTAAATATCTATATTTATTTTAGATTTTATTAATAGATGATATAATCTAGCCAAAAATTTGTATTAGAAACTCCAGATATTAAAAAATATGAATTATAAGGTGTCTAATGTTTATAATATCTGTAAGATACAGAAACATGTAAAAAAGCTATTCTATCTAATAAATAATCTTAATTAATGGATTCTGTTCAATAAATGAATTTATGTGATGATCAATAAGATCCAAGTGAATTTGAAAATGAAAATGAAAATGAAAATGATGAAGATAAAGAAGTTTAATAAATGTTTAGTTCTAAAGAAATGAAGAATTTCAGTGATCAAAAATAAATGACATATCCAAGTGAATCTAGTCAAAATAATAGTCATATAGAAATACGAAAAGATTAATATCAAAAAACACTGTTTTGTTCCCCACAATTCAAAGATCAAGATATTTTGAATGTATCAGAAAGCAGTGCTGATTCAAATTGATTTTTTTAATTAAAATATAAATCAATTAAATTTAGATCCTAAAGTAATTAATATCACTTATTCTCACTGATTACTAAACAAATGAAACAAAACTATCTTTTTATATTCAGATGATTTAAAAAATCTTATTCAGAACTAACATTATAGTAATTGATCAAAAATATCAGAACAAGTTTAGGGTTCTTTTAAAATATAAATTGATTTTATGAAAAAGCAGTTATAATAAATTATAGATAGGTATAATGTTTAGATGACTTACATGGGGATTTAAAATTAATTTATACATTTACCCATTTATTTTGGTACAACAATGTTATATGAGAGAGAATGAAATTATTAGTTTTAGAAATAATTAATGAATGGGTATTATATTAGGATGTAGTCAAAATAAAGCATTCAGATAATATTATTAGTTTAGAGAATAATGGCATTTAATTTATTTATGCGTTAAGCTAAATTAAATAGGAATCAAATATTTATTTAAAGAGTTTTGCATGTATAAAATTGAAAATTTATTATAACTTGATATAATTTTTACAAATAAGTTATTAAATCAATCTTTTTCTTCTTCTTCTTCTTCTTCTTCAATATCAAAACATTCCTGTTCTATTTTATTATCTCGAAATAGATTGATCATATTCTTTTTTTCAATAAGTTCATCAAAAATGAGTTCGAATTTGTTGTTTTCAACAACATTATCAGGTATAAATAGTTTTTTATTTTAAGGCCATTCTTCAAAGAAAGGAGGAGGGAAAATTGGGTCGACAGCAATTCTAAATAGATTTTCAACCATAGTTGGTATGATTTTACTAAGTAGAGGACAAGAGAGTTCTAGACAAGGATTTGTATTAGCTTCAATTAACCATAATTTAAAATTATCATCAATCATAAAATCTAATCCATAAAGCTATATAAAATAGAGAATAAATATTACTTCAAAACTATTAATTCTACGATGTGGATCAATTTTTCCATAAGTAGCTTTCATCATTTCTAAAGCAGCAGATTTCATTTTCGGATAAATATCAATAAAGAAATTAAATTTAATATTAGGATGATTTGCTTCAACATATCTTTAAAATTCAAGATAAGATATTTTATTTCCAGGTTCATGTTTACCATAATCCTAATCTTTAGATTAAACAGCATCATTAGTTAAATGAACAAATCTATCTAAACATTTAGTAGTAAATTCTTTAGAAGATGTTCTGATATATCCTTCTTAATACCAATAACCTTTAAAAATCCCATTTTGAGAAGTCAATAACATATAACATCTAATATCGAATTTTCTTTTATTGTATAAAAAAGGATTATCTATATATTATTATACTATATATGTTCTTGGTCTGCCTTCTTGAATTTCTTCATTAATGATTTTATTAATTTCATTAAGATCATTACAAACAGTGATGCCATTACCTCTATTTGTTAATTCACCTGGTTTAATGATCCATAAATTAATAGGAAGTTTCTTTTTATCTTTTCTATCTCTAGTTCTTTCAATTTCTTTGATTTCATCAGTTCTTCTATTAAAGTATTCCAAAAACTTTTAATATTCTATATCATTAATTCCTTTTTAAACATGAAAAGTTACAGGAAGTAATTTATTATAGTCTTCTTTAATGATTTAATAATAATGTTTCATATTATAAAACAAAGCTTTTTTGTTACCTAAATGCCAATTATCTTCCATATGATTATGCATACGAAACATCTTACTATCTTAACGTTGATTAGTATTGAGGAATTTAATGTCTTTAAGCAATTTATCAGTACAATCACTAAATATTAATTAAGAATCATAACATCCAGTTTCTTCCATATAATTTATAAGTTTTTAAAGATCTTATGTATTAAGTATTCTTCTTAAAGAATAATAATTAGATGGCCTCTTCTACTATTATTATGGAGTTGACTTTTAAAGACCTCCAGTACTACTTAGTTATTTTGATCTAACTTCTATATCAGAATCACTTGTATCTCCAATAGTTTCTTCATGACTTAAGAGAAATGATTCAGAACTTTATAGACCTGATTCAAGTATACATGGATGCAACTAAGTAATACAAATGTTTTATTTAAGTTATGTCCAGGACATATTTACTTTTGTAATATCTAATGTTTCTACCTCTTACCACCACCATCTTTATCTAAACATATTTTTTATGAGACTACCATTATTTCCCTTACCTACATAATAAAAGTATGATGGGACTTCCAATTTACTTGGACAACAAATACATTGATTATTTGAAAAATTAATTTTGTTTATGAAGCATCTATATGAAGTATGACGTTATGTCAATTTCTCTTTTTATTGATTCTATTGTTATATTGCTAATCCTTAACTTTATTTCTTCTTTCTCTTTGGTATCACTTTTTTATCTATTTAAATATCTACTGTTTTTATCTATTATTATTATGATTAAGATGAATAAAAAGCATTCAATTACTTCTTTTCTTTTAATCCTCTTGATTATGGTGTTTGTATTACAACTTATTTATTTTATAGTTTTTGTCTAATTTTCAGTGGACTTGCATGAAACATCTCTTTCTAAGGAGTCCCTGATCTACTTGTTAAATGCTCATCTTTTTCTTCCTTTGACTTTTACATAAAAGGAGTTGAAGAAGTTCTTCCCATCTTATGAACACTTGTATCATTCTCAATCGTTGACTTTTATTCACCTTATCCAAATGCTCTATGTTTCCTAGCTAATGTTTTTTACATCGTTGGTCTTTCAATATACATATGAATTACGTCTCAATAAGTGAACTTTTGAATGTTTCTCCACGTTCTTTTGATTAGTTCTGTCTTTCCTTTACTTTCAGTTTATCTGTAATTAACTTCAGAGGAGGTAACATCTTCTTTGCTAATCATAAATTACTTTTCTATTTACATTTATCTTATTCTCCTACACTTTATAACTTCTAAGGTGTTGTTTTATCTTCTTTGCTCATTCTTTCATCTTCATTCTACTTTATCATCATTCTTGAACAATCCTCATTATTCTCATTATTTAACTCTTTCTATTCACTATGCAGCATCCCTCTATTAATCAAACTTGTAAATATATCTGAACTTGTTCTCTCCTTAATTGTACCAACTTTTGTTCGCTATGAAATTGATAATTATTCCAAACGTTGGGGTTGCACTTTTGATCCTATCAGTTATTTTTAGTGAAAAGAATAAAAGTCTTTGCTATTTGAAAATGTATCTCCCATTTTCTACGAATATCTAGGTTAAGCCATCATTATTAATAAAATAACTATTAAAATTATAAACCAATTAACTATGTGACATCCTACAAATTTATTTCTAAAATTAAACAAATTAGACATTCTCTCTTATTTCAATATACATTATTCACTTTAGTATATTCTAATTCTTACACTAATTGATTCATTTTCTCAATCCCTATTGTTTTCTTACACTTTTTAATTTAAACAGGCTCTAATTTTAGATTATTAGTATTAAAAAATTTACTATATTACAACATTTTATCAAAATTCAAATTCAAAATTATATGCTCAAAACACTTTCAAATTATGTTGATATAGAAGACGATTCTATTAAAAATTACATCAAAGAATTAAAAATACTAGAAATATCAATTCCTCTAGACTAATAAATAGAATTAGTTAATCAAATTTTTCATGATCAACAAGCTAAACCTTTAACTAATTAGAAATATTCAATTCAAATTGGAAATTAACATGATCTTAATATCATTGAAGAACATTACAATAAACCCCTTTTGTGTGAATATTTAGAAAGTCAATTCATGACATTAATGGAATTAATCAATGAAATCTCAAAATCTATTTCAGAAATCTCATAAAAGATTGATTAGAAATAATCAGCAACTAATAAATTATAAGTTTATAAATTTCAAGAAGAAGCATAAGCATAAATCCTATCTTTAAATCAACCTATAGATAATTCATCAGTACCTTAAATTAATAAAGATACCTTTAAAAATGAAATGATATAATTTATAAAGGATTAAAAGAACAATTTAGTGTATCAACAATAGGTTTCACAGTTAGAATAAAAGGTAATTTAAACAAGAAGAATGATATTTGAGAAAATAGAAGAATAAAATAATTTATCAGAGCAAGTAGTATAAAAAATGGAAATGAATATTGATAATGAACTAAAACTCTTAGAAAAGACTATAGAATTAAAATTTGTTGCTAAGGTTGAAAGCGATTTGCATTAAGAAGTTCTTTAAATGGAGAAGTCGAATGCTAAAACAACATTTAATAAAGATGTTCCTTAATATTAAGATTATGATTAAATAGATAAGTAAGTTTCATAACTATTTAATCATATTTGTAAAACATTTTAAGAAATCAAAGAATAGAAAGTCAAAAATAATGATTTGATTTTTGATTAAATTTTGAATAATATCGAAGCTTAATCAAAAACTTTAAACAAAGTTTGTTAACAACATGAATCTAATACTTATCATTTTGCAGATTATATTAATAATTATTCTAACTCTTAATAATAGATAAAGAAAGATTAAATTGAGAAAATAAAAGAATAAAAAAGAGATTATGAATTTTGTCAAAGCTTTTTAGTTCAATAATCGAATGATGAAGGAGCTGAAATTGATCAATTTTTAAAATAAGCTCAAAGCTATAATTAAGTTCTTAAAGTTACAGAATAAATGGCAAATGATGTATTAAGTTATTTTATTTGTTTAGTATAATATCTAAGTAGAATAATAGAAATAAAATTTGGAATAAATTAAATAGTATTTGTTAAGATTATAGAAATTGTTATGAATATTAAATATTTTCTTTTTAAATTCTATAAATATAACATATCATAATAACATTATATTTTGCTTTAAAAATCTAAACTAATATCTGATTATTAGATATGAATCAAGATTTAAGAATAAATTGATTCAATCGATTTATGATGTAAAAATAATGAATATTTTGGATTTTCAAAAAATGATTAAATTTTATTAAAAAAATAATAAATGGTGAACGTCCCCAAAAACAGAAAGACATATTGCAGAAAATGTGGAAATCATCAAAGTTGCAAAGTGTCACAATACAAAAAGAGCAAGGAAAGTCCTTTTGCATAAGGTAGAAGAAGGTACGACATGAAGCAAGCTGGTTATGGAGGACAAACCAAACCTATTTTCAGAAAGAAGGCAAAGACAACAAAGAAAGTTGCCTTAAAGTATATCATTTATTAATCGATTTAGACTTGAATGTGTTAAGTGTAAATTGAAGTGGTTAAAGGTCATTAAAAGATGCAAGACTATTGTATTTGTTGATGCCAATCAACTCAAAAAATAATAAGAAGCTAAGAAAAATGCCAAATGAGATTTACAATAGTATAAGATACATTAAGTATTTAATAATCATTAATTTATTTTTTGATATCTTCAGAATTGAATTTCAATTCCCTCTTTGTTATTCTAAAAATCCACTTCTAAGAAAACTTAATTTAATTTTAGCAAGGATTTTGAAATATAAATAGGAGAGGATTTATATAAAAATATTCAAAAATATTTGTGTCTAATAGTAAATATATATATATTTTATAAATTTAATGAAAATATCAGATTAATTAAAAAGTTCATTGGTTCAATGTGTTTCAGAATAGAAGGATTAAACTTTATATGATATTCTGTCCTCATAATCAGGAGTCGATTAATTTTAATATTTAGTGAAAGGATTTCAAGAGTAATTACAATTCCAATCCTAGAAAATCTTCTGAAGATTATATGAAAACAGTTCCAACTCCAATAAATAGATAAGTTCGATCATCATAATCAAAGAGTTAATTCTAATAGTTTCCTATTCAGAAATCGATTTTTGAGGATCCTGGTTTAGTTTAATTGTCATATTTTCAGTTTGCAAATGTGATGGATGAATTTTTTTTAGAAATTAATGAAACTTAGATTATAGAATGGTTTTAATTATTACAAATAAATGAGAAAGTCTAAATTAGAGATTTTTATATTATAGTTCTTATGTTTTTGAGTAGAGAAAGTAGATAATAATTTGATTATTTATATTAATATGGAGAGTACTTATTTGAATGTTTGAAATAAACAAATAATAAAATATTAGGTTTAACTTTAAAAATATTTGTTAAGGTATAAATTATATATAAAATTAAAGTTATGTGGAATGCAAGCTAGACAATCATAGAAGTTGTTTGTTGAATTAAAAATGAAGTAGAATGAAGAATATTCTTTTGAAGATTTCGAAGTTTTTTGTTTTGCTTTCATGAATCCTGAAAATCTCTAAGGTTAAGGTTGCCAATAGAAGTTTATTAAATAAACTCATTAAAACAAACAAGATTTTAATCTGCAGTAAATTATCAAGCCAAAAATTGACAAAAAATGATATTATTTTTATAATAAATTTATGGGATAGTGTTGTGCACCATCCACAAATATTCAATATTCAAATACAGCCCAAGTTAAGCCTAAAGCAGAAGAAGAGTATGATTTTAAGGGAGTTATAACTAAAATTGATGGCTATTATAGAGGATAAGTTATTCGTTAAAATATAGATTATGAATTTTTTGATTTAAATACAACCTTATGATTCATAACAATATACATTAATATATATTTTTATTTATTATGAATTTTTTTGGATCCAAAAAAGCACCAGCTCCTCAGCCTGCTGAAAAAAATTTATAATCTATGTCGAAAGATGAATTAAGAGATAAATAAAGATCAATGAATAAAGAATTATAAAGGGAAATGAGAGAGATTGAAAGGTACTGAATTAATTAAATTTTAAAAGGCAAAATTTTTAAATTGATTAAGCAAGGAAAAAGGCAGAAGATTTACTTCAAAAAGAAATAAAGAAAGGTGATAAAGCTGACAAATTTATTAAATAGACTTACGCAAAATAAGTCATTTAATGTCAAAAATAAAAAGAGAGAAATGCTTTAAATAAAGGAAAAATTCAAAATATTATATATGGTATAGATAATATGTTTGCTAACATTAAAATGGCTTAAGCTATGGGAACTATTTCAAATGTTATGAAAGATATTAATAAGTTAATGAATGTAAAGGAGATATAAGCAACTATGTAAGATTTATAAAAAGACATGATAAAAATGGGAATTGTTTAGGAATAAATGGATGATGCTATGGAAAATATGAATGATGATGTAGATTTAGGAGAAATGTAACAATAAGTATTTTATTTTATTTCATTATCTAAGGCCGATGATTTAATCTATTAAATGGAGGCTTAATAAGCAGGACCAAATAAGTAACTTCCTTAACAATAAAAAATCCAACAATAAGAAGCTAATTAGGATTTAGATGATTTTGAAAAGAAATTATAGTAATTGTGATTTTAACTATAATTAAAGATTTAATATCAATTATTATAATTTCTTCTATAATATCATTTAATTATTGTTTTTATAACTTATCTAATCTCTTTTTCAACATCACTTTGATGATCAATTCTATTCTATACAGAGTCTATTCTATATACCATATTATTCGATTTGGTAAAGGTTTTACTCAGGCAAATAGTTATTTATTATTATCTTGTTCACTTTGTTCTTTTAAATTATTATTTTTCTATTATTTGCTATTCATCAATTATTTTAATTATTGAATTAGTTTATCATTAACAATATAGAACTTTAGTTATTAAATTTTTATATTAAGTTTATGGACATAAAATCATAAGTCATCTTTTGATTTTTTATTCTTTTTCTTTCCTTTTTTTAATTCTTTTTCTAATTCCTTTTTTCTTTATTTTTCTTCTTCCAAGATTTCTTTTAATATTTCTTCATCAAAATCTGATAGTCCAGATTATTGGCTAGCTTCTCTTCTTTTTGCAAATACATCCTCACAATTTTTTTCAAAAATTTCAAACTCTTAAATTGCAATGTTATTAGATTGGCCTTTATACTATTTTTCAATAAATTTATTTATTGACTCATAATCAAATCGGCCAATCAATTTAGAATAGCTAAAATGATAGGAAAATTTACATTTTTTTAGAAGTTGAATAAGCAACAAAATTTGGTAGAGAATCATCAGAGATGTCAAACTTTAATAATACTTCATCATGACATGATGCATCTATTAATACAAAAGAAGCCTATTTTCCACCATGAGTATTTTTAATTCTATCTAAAACCTCCAATTAATATTCCCATTTAGTTAAAATCTCATCATGTTTCTATTATTTATGTTCTCCATTTAAAAGAGCAATATAACACAATTTCTATTTTTTATGACAGTGTTCTATGAATTATTCTGTATTAGAGATTTCAACTACTTTTTTATTAGAGGTCTTTTTGGAATCATCAAACTAAAAATATATATTTAGTTTACTGAATCAAAAAAACTCTTAATTTCTTCATAAGTGTGCTTCCCTGTAAATAAGGCTTATTTGACTTATTCAGGTAAAAGTTCTTCTTCTAGTTCTTTTTTATCTTTCACTTCCCTAAAGATTATAGTGATCGAAGGTTAAGTTGGAATTTAGAATTATTGAATTACCATTTCAGGTGCATTTTTGAAAGACAAAAATTTATATTTACCATAGTATTCTTGCAATTAGCTAAGTACTCTATAAGTAAGGCCAACAAGAGGAGTTTAATAGAAATAAATAACAACGATATTATTATCAGCTATGAATTAACTTAATTACATTTATAGAGTTTATTCATTGATGTTGATAGTTTTATCATCAATTAAATCTTGAATATCCTTATTAATTTCTTCTAGATTATATTCTTTAGTAAATGAAATTTTAGTAGATTTCTTTTTCCCAGCATTTCCAACTTAATAAAACTTGATGCTAGGGTAACTTTTGATATTTAATTCTTTGGCTAATTCTTCATCTTATTAAGTGTTGACTTGTAATTCATAATAATCAAATAAAGATTTATATTTTTTAAGAGTATCATCCCATGATTTATGAACTTAATCTTTGTAAATATGAACAAGAGCAGGTTTATCATTTCTTAATAATTATTTATTTAAAACATTTAAATCTAATTTAACAGGAGTAATGAGAGTAGGTTTTTGTGATTCATCTTCTTTATCATCAGATTTTGATCTTCTATTTCTTTTTTCTTCTTTAGGTTTTTCATTAACCTGTTCATATGGAATTTTATCTTTTGCAGCTAAACTTCTAACAAACTTTTTGATGGGTTTAAACAACAAATCATCATCAAACATCTCACGATTATAAGTGTTATCTCCATTGTTTTCTAAGCCAACAATTTATGGAAGCTCTTTAATATCAAATTCATCTAAGAGTGTTTATGTTTCTGGTGAGGCAATAATTTCACCAAATTTAACTCTTTCATAATAATGTAAATTAAGAGATTTTAAAATAGGTGAGGTTTCCTTCTTCTTTGTAAATAAAATAACTTTATTTAGTTTTGGATCAGATGTTTCAAAATGTTTTAATTCAGCTAAAGTGTTGATTCTTATTACATGATTGGGAATGAATTTATGTCCATAGGTACCCAAAGATTATGGAGAAGCTTCACCTTAAAATCTATGTTCAGTAGCAATCATAGGTTCTTTAGTGTAAGGATTTATTTTGAGTTCAGGTGGTTCAAAGAAAGAGATTTAAGGTAATTAATCTAACATATCCTCACTGCAATATGGTAATTTATTACTAAGGTTATATATAAAAATTACACAGAATTTGGATCCTTGTTAATTTAATCACAATTAGCTCCAAAAACATTTATTATACCTTCTTAATCCTCTGCAACTTTTTCTACCAAGCTGGCAGCCATTTAGCAATTTTCACAATCTTCAGCGTAAAAATAAACTAGTGATACAAAATCTGATTCCAAAATTGGATGAAAGTCTTACATTTTGTATACACTCTTTATTGTATAAGAATTCTCAAATAAGGCTTATGTCACTATGAAAAATAAAGCAATTAGAATGAACTTATTCATTAATTATAAATAAATTTGACAAATAAATTATTTACGTGTGAATTAGATATATATTAAATTTTATTTAATTGTCATAACATTTATCAATTTCAGAGATTATGAACATTTTTTTTCAAAATCTCCTAATATTATGAGTAATTTGTATTCCAAATTTGTAACAATTAATTAGGTGACACCTTAATAATTTCACCGATGTTTTCTTAATTTGATTCTTTAACATCTTTAAATACAGATTCCATTAAGTGTGCCAAGATCACATCTTTAATTGAAATACCACTTACATCTTGAGTAGTTATTTCTACATTTAGTCTATTATAAACATTAATCCATTTAGGGTAATCTAAATAAAAATTAATAATTACGATTCATCTCATCAGCCATATGTGAAATTGTATTCATGAATACAAATGCTTATTTGAAAGTATCAAATTTATACTCTTTTGCCAAATATTTTGAATTCTAATGCTATTATTAAAGTTCTTACAATTTTCCAACTTTTATCTAAAGCATGAATTTATAGAGAGAGCTAAACCTCAGTTTCATCCAATTTGCAAGGAACAATTGATGTTATATCTTTAAGGTCTTTAATAAACACTTTGATTGAATCTAAATTGGCGGCTTTGTTGAGAGTGAATCTCTATTTTGAGAGATGATGAAGCATAATAATATGTTAACTTAATTAATAAGATTTATAATTCAAGTTTAATGAATTTTGTATAATATAACATATAATAATATTAATCAATTACATAGTTTTATTTACATATCATTGTCATTAAATAAATAAAAATTTTAGAATTCATATTCATTCTTTAGAAAAAGTTTTTGAATTGTATTTATTAGAACAGAATAAACTATTAATCAATTCCATTAAATATATGAAATAATTTACTAATACTTAAATAAAAATTATTTAAAAAAATGTACTAAAATGATCCCCGATAATAACAGACTTTCCAATAAAACAATATATATTAAAGTTCCCCTATTCAGAGTCAATATGTAATGATAATGCAAATATTATTTATAATAGCTTTCGTCTCCAGGAATTCTGTAACAATATCAGCAATCTCCTCAAAATGCAATAATTCAATCACCTTAAACTTATTAGTAGCAATAATAGTTTGTAATTCTAATGATTTATTAAAGAGCTCACCATATTAGATCCCTCAGTCATAATAATTTCTATAGCAACCATAAATGCGATAAGCTTAACTACCTGTATAATAGAATCAAATTTTACCTGTTACTTCTCAACCAGTTGTTTCTGTTAGATCTTAAAGTCCTATTAATATCAAACCATCTTATTAACCAGTTAGTGTTAAAGTAGCTTCTCCTGTTGTTCAACCTGTTAGCTATTAAGTTGCTCCTCCTGTTTAACCAGTTGTAATTCAACAACCAGTTGTAATATATTTATTTGTTATTATTTCAATAGACTGTTCAACCATAAACTTAAGTTTAAGAATTTAGACATGTTGAAAGACCCTTATAAGTTATTACTGTTGATGGTATACTTTTATATTAACATTCTAATTAGAAATTGAAGCACCATGGAGATTGAAATGTGCTACTTTAGAAAGATAGATTTTAGAATTATAAATTCAAATTAGAAAAAATAATGGAACTATTGTTGAAGAAACTGTTTAAGAAATTTAAGATGATACAAAAGTTAAAAATTTAGAACTTTAAAAATTAGAATTAGAATAAAAAATACATGATGATGAACAATTGATGAATGAATTGAGAGCTAGACTTGAAGAATTAAGGCAAGAATATGAAATTATCATTACTGAAAAAGTTACCTATGCATCTAATGAAGTTGAAACTTGGATGAAAAAATATTCTAATCTAGAAAAAAGTTATGCTGAGAGCAGTTAAAAAATTGCTAATTTAAAGAGATAATTGGCATAAGTTGAAGCTGCTGATAAAGCTATGCAAGAATCAAAGAAATAAGAAGTTCGTTCAGAAGTTCGTAGAAGTTCAAAACTCAATTGAATATATCAATTTCATTATAAAAGTTAAGATATAAGAACTAAATAAAAATCACTTTTTATTACACATCAAGTGATTAACTGCTTGCTAAATTGAGCTACTATTTTAAATCTGTTACAATTTAAAATTCTTTTCATTCTCTATTCTTATGTCATCAACCTCTAATAACTCTATTAAATAATTTTCTAATGCTATTAATTCCTAATATATTTTATATTTCAAAATATTACATCATCTTTTTTATTATCAATATATGGAATTATTGGTATTCCATTGCTCAGCTAATATGCAAAAGAATATGCTGAATTATCTACTAATATTATATCTTTCAAATTTCTATTTAAAGTCCTTAAATCTTTTATATGACATCCTTAAGATAGATTTATACAGTCATTTCTATAGAAACGATATTTCACCAATTACTATGTTGGATCTAAATAGTCGATTATCTAATTTGCATAATCTTCATTTGAGGCTGTATATATCATAATTTCAAAATGTTAAGCCATATTTTCCAAAAATTGCTGAGCGTAGGGTCGAACACTAATTTCAGCCTAATTTAATATAATTTGATTTATTACGTTCACTCTTAATCCATTGTTTAAGTTAATATTTATCACTAGATCTTTGGGCATTAGATAGAATTCATTTAAATGGACTAAAGTTTCATCTAGATCAATAACTAATGTTTTTTATTGAACTAAAAAATAATATATAATTCAATACTAATTTATGGTTTGATTTTATCTAAAATTTCATAATTTTATGGTTATTTTAAGCCCTTTGATTTTTAGAGAATACTATAAGTCTGAATAAAGTGATTAATATACATTTATGCCATAAATGTATCATCTAAATCCCCTTTTATCAAGCTTATTAATTTATCAGTATAATAAGTTTATCTTTTTTTTGGTTTATTAAAATCTTCATTTTGAATTTATTTAATTAGTTCCCCTTCTTTGAATTGTTCCTTAGATACATGATTTGATTTTTGACTGTTTATAAATGATATATTGTCTTTTCCTCTCTTTTTTATAGTTTCTTCTTTTAATTATAAATCCAATTCTGTTGGAAGAGAATTATTACTGTCTATAGCGGTTATTGATAATTGATTAGACTTATATCTTTTGTGAATGGCTTTTCTTTTGATCAGGTTCTATTTACTGAGAAAATGATTTGAAAGACAATACTTTTTAGACTTTTAAACTAGGAAGGGATTATCTTCAAAACTAGGAATTTATTCATGATCTTAAACTTCTGGAATAGCTAAAGGTGTGATAGTCTAGAGAAATAAGCTCAAATATATTACTTATGAATCATTCTAAGCATCATTTCCTCTTAAAAAAGGCTCTTCTTAAAGTTAAGTTTATGTCTAACTTTGTTTAGTTTACTTGTTAGGTACATTTTTTTTTGATCTAGCGTTGTTTTAACATAACTTAAAGGCTTCTTTATCAACTTAAAATAATGAATCGGACTACAAAAAAATCAGTATGGATCGTACTTATTCAATTAAATTCATATTATTTTATGATTATGCTTGGACTGTTCGCAAGAAATGTCTCTCGATCTTTTAAGCTATCATATTTTATATTAATTATTATATTTGTAGAGTAATATTTTAGATTCTAAATACTGACCATCAAAAAAGGTTCCAGTATTGTCATTTCTCTGCAATCTATTCATTATTGTATGAGAATATATATACATATATAATTATTCATTCAATTTACATTTTAATTAAGCAATATCGTTTTGAAACAAATTATTGAATAGAAAAATTTAATAAAAAAGGGAAATTTCGCAATCTCTCTTGTATTTTATTATCAATCTATTCTTCTTATTGAATCTTTATTCAGCCTTCTTATATCATATTGAAAATCCAATTTTATAATTTTCAATAATTGCAATTCTCCATTTTGTATCGATCTTTTAATTAATTAAAGTCTCTAATTATACTTATAATACTCTAGTATCCAAAAACAAATTTCAAAATCACAAAATTCCTCTCTTATACTAAATAATTTTATTTTCCTAAAATTCTTTTTAAGCATTCACTAATTAGAGGATATGTTTGAATCTTTTCGTTTATCAATTTCAATACAAATTATTCCATTATCCCTCATAAATGATCTCTAATCAGTGATCGTTTCCAATATGGATAATATTAAAAAAGGAAACTAAATTGTAGTTAAATTTTGGTAACGATGAGAACTTCGTTTATTTTTCTAAATTTTTAAAACTAATCAAAATCACTTTCACATTTCTAATTGGGATATGGTTACTTATTTGTCATTCTAAATGAAACTTTATTATATTTTCTATGCTTGTAATTTGTCCTTTGAATTAGAACATTCTTATTATTTAGAATTTTTTCATTTTTATGGTTAGTATATTAGATAATTTTATTTTATGCTTTTACCTTATCATAAAATCACAATAATGAACTCATTTAAGATCTGTCTTTACTTTTTATTGCTTTATGATTTGATGAAGTGATTTGAAATATTAACCATAAGATGAAACTTAAGGAAAATTATTTAATGAATTTTAACCTCTATTGCAATGACCAATTAAATTATAATATAATATGCCTAAATTTTAAAATATTCATTTAATATTCAATAAGCACATCCTTTGATACAAAGCCATTTAAATTCTTTGAAAATCCGATAAAACAACAAGTAAAAAGGAAAGATTATTATCACAATAATCAAAATTATTATTTCTACGAATATAAAATATATTGATCTTAAAAAACTAACACTAATAATTGAATATTATACCAACTTTTTGGTTTTCTTGAGCGCGAAATTTTTTTGTTCAATTTCTAAAATGGTTTAGAAAAAGATTTAACAGAAGCGAAAAATAAAAATTTGAAAAATATTAATGGTCCCCTTAAAAGAAAAAGTATTAAACGAGGTAGAAAAAAAATCCACCTCATTCTATCAGGATTACTAACAATTTTATTTGTTTTGAATCTTCCATTAGACCATACTTAACATATAGGATAATAAATTTACTTGCACAACCTTTTAAAGACCAATATCTATAATGATATTAATTATAGTGCTATAAACAAACCCAGCAGTATTAATAATGACATTAAATACAAGTCATATGATTACATCCTGCATTTTTTTAAATGTGAGCATTGCATCCAGGACAATATTTTATGCTATATTTATTTATTGCATCTCTAAAATCTTCCTCAATAGCTTGCTTTTTTTTAATTTTGAATTATACCTCGCATAATTAACCTAAATGTGCCTTCCTACCACAGTTAAAACAAATAGAGGTCCCACAATGACATTAGACAATATTTGATTTTGGATTTCTTTCGACATATAAATCACAACCTACTGCAGGACACCATTTTTTATTCATATCATTTTCAATCTCTAATTTACGTTTAAATATTAAATATTGATCAAATTTTTATTTACTTACTGTTTCTTTTATTACAGGTTCTGGAAATTTTACTATGCAACCTTCTTCTAAACAAGGAATATTATTAATTTTGGCGTTTTTTATTTTGTCTTCTAGGTATTCTTTATAACAATTGCTTTAAATTTATCATATCATATACAGACAAAATTTATGTTCGCATGAAAGTAACTATATTCTTATTACATCAATGATTCCACAAATAGGACAAGAATCCTCTTTATTATTTTTATTCTCTTATTACTATACTGATTCATGTGAAGTTTATTTTTTAAATGAATTGAACTTCTAGATATTTTAACGTCTATTTTCAAGATCATTATCTATTTATTAAATTTAACATCTAAATTTTTATTACTATATATACATAATCTCCTCTAGATCATCATTTGAATTATCAATTTCTACTAAATTTTATTACTCTTCATTTTTGTTTTTAAATTAGTTTTCTTATTAAAAATTAGGTATCTATTATATTTCCATAATAGAACTCAATTCTATTTTTTTTTAAGAATTTATTTCTAAAGTTCTACAGCTACGTTTTGAGAATGATTTGACTTAATTATTTTTATAATCAGATGAATTATCACTTTATTGTTTTTTTAAACCAACAGAAAATTATCTATTTTTAAAGTCTTAATCTGTTTCTTTTATATCAAAAATACACTAATTTTGTTATTCAAGCAATGATTTAGGCAGTTTACGTATACTTAAACTAAAATATAATAAAACTTGCTTTCTTATTCTAAATTTTAGACTATTTATTGAATAGTTAGGATTGTATCACTGTCTCTTCTCTAAATACTTTTTATTTCTTCAATATTTTATGTTTCAGGTATCATTAAACTGACAGAAATAATTAATGAATATTATGTATTTAGATAAAATTCTCATGATTAAATAAAATCCAAGCTCTCTCTAATTAATTAAATCATTTATTAAAAGATTATTAGAAGCATATTATTTTCAATATATTTTATGATGAATATGAGTAGAAAACAAGATGTTCGATATATTCATATTTATTACAGAGTAGGCATTTAAATTTATAATAATACTCAATTTAGTTTATCTAATATTTTTAATATTTTTATTGATAATGTTTGGTATGATTAAGATTAAATATAGGGAATGAATATAAATTTAGATTTTTTAGATAAGGTATTTAGAGACTTAAATTTTTTTTTAATTGAACAGAATGAAAATCATATGAATTATATGTCACATAATGTACAATTATATTGAATACTTAATTCCTTTCTCATTTCTATAATAACTTTCCTATGAATGTTAGTATTGTGTGTATAGCATTGCTTTATTTAAAAAAATTTAAAGATTTTTTTTTAAAATATGGGCAAAAAGGAAAAAGGAAAGCCAAATCCATTAGGTGAAGTGAGCAGAGATTATACTATTAATCTTCATAAAGCTGTTCACAAGGAGACATTCAAGAGAAAGGCTCCACGTGCTGTTAGCCATATAGTAAGATTTGGTATTTGATTCAATTAATTAGAATAGCTCAAAGGAATATGTTGACAGAGGATGTTAGAGTTGATCCATAATTGAATGAAGCAGTATGGGCTAGAGGAATTAGAAATTTACCAAGAAGAATCAGGGTTAGGTAGCTTTATTAAAGTTATTTTTTGCAGACTTTAAAGAAAGAAGAAGGAAGAAGATGATGGAAAAGGAAAGTACTATACTCTTGCTTAGTACGTCCCAGTTGATTCATTTGCTAACCTCAAGACAGAAATCACAAAAGCATGATGATTCAAAAATATTGTACAATACAATATATAAATACATTATTTTATTTTTTATAAAAATCATTCTTTGTTTATTTATTAATTAAATTCATAACTTATTTTTGATTTATATTTTAAGTGTTATTATCATATTTATCCAATATTCAATTTAGATCTCCAAAATGAACCCCAATTTTCATTATTATTTATTTCTTTAGACATTTTTTGAAGATTTGAATGATAATAAAATGATAATAAATTAAAAAACAATAAAAAGGTTATTAATAATAAAGTTCATTTTATATTGAGATTTTAATAATAGTTCTAAGATACAGATTTTAAATTAAAAAATATTAGATGCTAAGTAAAAATGAGTTTAAATTATATTGAAGAATTAAAAATAAAATTGGATAATATAAAATGAGTTGATATGAAAAGGTTGATAAAATTTGTATGTGTTAGTTTTGTTTATTATATTTCATGCATCAAGATTGAATAATTTAACACTACTTGGATCATTGATTATATATGCTCCCTTTTAGGATTGACGTACGAATTCTCGTACTGTATTTTCACTCCTTCCTAATTTAAATAATTCCTAAAATAGTTAAAATAAATTAAAATACTTTCAAATAGGAATCAAGTTATTTACATCTTTGTGCTATGAAATCGTTTTCAAGGTTTCCAAAAATTCTTTTTTCTGGAAATTTAGGTAGATAAGATTTGAGATTCTTTGATATTTTCGTATTCAAACTCTCTAATAGACTATATCTAGTTTGAAATATCCAGAAAAGAGTTCCTTTCTTAATTTTAATTTCATAGACAACAAAACTATTCTATATTACTTTAGAGTTGATGATCTCGATCTCAAAGTCGTTATTCTAGAAAAATATTAAAAATGATAGATTTACATTTGTTGTTATTTGAGTTTTAGTTTTCTATGATTGTCTTTTTTTTAGGAAGGAGAGTATAGGTAATTATGGCATCTATTCTTCAATCAAGGATTATTGAGTTTATTATAATAAAGCTAACTATTGATTTTGATTAGACATTGTTGTTTTTGATTAAACAAAAGGGGTAAGGGAAAGTTAAACAGGTTTTAACTTATTTTAATTATTGTAATAAGTCTTTTTAAATGTTTTTATTATTTTATAAATAATGAATCAAAAGAAAAAAAAAAGAGTGTTTTCATTTTAAATTAAAAATTTAACAAACTAGTAATCAGAATTGTTTGATAATCAGTAGTTATCAAATAGAAAATAAAATGAATAGACAAATAACAAAGTATTTCATAAAATATTGGCTTTGAATGAGATTGATTAATTCTATTCTCCAAAAGAATCTGGTTCTACAACATAGAGATCAATGTCTAGACTTCGAAAGAATTCGATTAGTCCAAAACATTCATATATATATTCAAGGAAAACAATTCAAACTCCTTTAACAATTAGATCATCATTAACAATGTTAAATCAATTTGAATAACAGTTTGCTGATAGTATTTAATGTAATGAATAAATTGGTGCTATTGAAAGTAATTAAATTTTTTGATAAGGTTTGCTTAACTTGATGGTAATTGCAGTTGAATAAGATAGCATAAGTTTACTCATAACTTTTATGCGTTTAAGTGCTTTAACATTTATATCATTTTAAGAATGGACTAAAGCTCTTCTTTTTTTATAACATTGCAAATTTCTAAGTGAATTTACAAGATAATTTGATGTTATATAATGGACATTTCTTTAGATTGGAATTATATGTAAATATGTTAAAAAATATGATATGGGTAAAATATTCATTAAAAAGGTAATTTGCTATATATATTCAGTCATTGGAATATGCGTGGCATTTAAAAGATATCGATTAAGAAATTATTTGTTACGAAGAACTTGGTAAATTATGTTTTCTTAATTATGAATTAAAAACAGCTAAGTCTTTGCATGAAAAAAGTATGAAAGGTACTGTGGAAAAAGATAAATCTGCAATGAAAATGGTTTCATCTAAAGGAATGTAATAGATTATTAAAATGTTACCATAAGAAGAAACAAAAATGGGATTATACATATTTTCTAAAGCTGTAAATTTTCCCATCAAATTGATTTAATGTTAAAATCCTCTTTATTATTAAAGAAGATAAGTGAAAAATGAATATATGATATCACATAATTTAGAATGCATACCTAATCAAAGAGTTATTGATATTGATATTTCATTAGATGAAATGTTACAACAATTTCTTAGAGGTAAAAATTTTGCTTTTGAAATACCAATACCTATATCTATTGCTGATGAGTATGAAAGTATGAGCCAAAATAATTCTATTCCTAAAATATAAAAATTAAAATAAACATAAACTGCAACTTTAATAAAATTATCATCCTTAAAATTACATCCAACTTCAAATAAGTAACCAACTATTAAATTAAATGAATTTTAAAAAAAACTACCTCTAGAAGAAATGATCAGATAACGTTTAGAGATGAAATTTGAAATCCCATCATCTTTTACAGAAAATTTAAGAAGCAGAAAATTTGCTACTAATTTAGAATTAATTCGATTAACGCATGAAAGGGATGGAATTGCTTTGAGTGTTGAACATTAAAAAAGAGGATTAGTTAGATATGCATAAAAATTGCTAAGTTAATAAAAAATTACTTTCCTATGATTTATAGTATGTTTTATAGATAAACATATAATTTATATTATTTTTATTTAAATTATTTTTTTCATTTTTCCTTACTTTGTTTTATCACTTCTTCTATAATACTGGAAGACTTTTAGTAATTTTCTTAGTCCATAACAAACTCTTCAAAATTCATTCCGTTTTAACCTGTTAACATTTTTGTTCTAATTTATCTTACATCTTCTTCCTTTCCTTTAGGTTTTTAATTGTCTTTTCTGCTTTTATTGTTTTTATTATTATTTTCAGATTATTTATCACTAGCTTGTTTATTATCCATAGGTGTTAGGTGTGGAAAAATCTTTTATAAATTATTTAAATGTATTTTTTTATTAAAAAGTTCAAGTCATAAATATAAGATGATGATATTCATAATTCTTTTAAATCAACTTAAATAATTCTTTATATCAATCATTTAATTTTAGATATGTTGACAAAAAATAAATTCCTTTTCACTAAGTTCATCGAAAATTTTCTTTTTTTTGAGATACCAACCAAGTTATAATTTTATTTAATAAAATGATTCATCCAATAGTTCCATTTTATTTGAAATTAACTTAATAATGATAACAGTTTCTATGAAACTTCATTAAGCATTAGGTCTAACCATTTTTCATACCACACACTCAAATTTTAGAAATTTTCTTCATTCGAAAATCTGCTTTTGTTATTAATATAATCAATTTTGTCATATATAACTGCAGTATTTAATCTTATTGTTGTTTAATTAAATTTTTTATTTTAGAATTCTTAATTGAAGCAAGAACAATTAGTA